CATGCAAGCTATTAAATTTTACATCGGATGGTTGTAAGTAATTGTGACCACCTTGTATCAAAGCTAAATAGCCTTATTGTATACAATCCTTAAATTTAATTGGATGCTATGGCATGTATATAAACGTGTAACCTTTATTTGGATAAAGTTTAGCCACTTGAAATATAAAAAAAAATTTAAAATTACTTAGCACAAATAAAAGAATTAAATCTTATATATACTTCATCATATATTTTTTTTGTTAAAAATATAGTATTGTGATTACATAAGTATGGCAATGTTCGCATAGCCATAAAAAAATTGAAAACATAAAAATTATAATTGAAATTTATATATAGGGAAAAATTGAGAAGAAAGAAATTGATACATCATTTAACATAAGAATCAAAAGGAACAAAATAATCTTTTTTCTTTAGCGTTAATGATCAATGGGCCTTATCTAATAAGATAAAAGTAACTTATAAAAAATATATATATTACTTCCGAACAGAGATATCAAAAGAAACATAATCTATTTGAAACATAGTTAGAAAAAGCTAAAAGAAAGAATAACATAAATAAATAAGATACAAGAAATTAAAATAAATAATAATAAAAGAATTCAATAAAATAAAATAATAATAATAATAATAAGAGATAAAAATAGAGGTTTAGGATTCAAGATACAGGGCATTATAATGGTTTGATGGAGCGGATGGAAAGAGAAAACCTGCTAGAGATAGTGTTATAATGGTTTGATGGAGCGGATGGAAAGAGAAAACCTGCTAGAGATAGTGTTAGGATAGCTGAGAGAGTTTCCTTATAGGATAAGATTTGACTGTGATAAGCTTTTGGGTTTGTGCGCGTAAGGGTTTTATCCTTTTATTTAGAAAGGATAGGAGAGGTTTTTCTCAAAGAGAGATTTAGGAAAAGAGAGCTTGAGAGAGAGATAAATAAGAAAGAAGAGATTACAGGAGAGAAAATAGTTTTTAAGAAAGAGAGATAGGGAGGAAGAAATTGTGAGAGATTTAAAAAGAGAAGTGAGTGAGAAAGAAGAGAGGTTACAAGGGAGATTCAAGAAAGGAGTTATGACATAAACAAACATTAATTGCATGTTACATAGTGAAAAAAAAAAAAGAGAAAGAAGAAAAGAACGGGTGGGAGGTGGATAGGAGCGTGGACATTAGAAAGAGGAAATTAAATTTAAGGGACAGAAAAGTGGGAGGTAGAGGGAATGAATTATATATATATATATATATATATAGACATTTAATTAAAAAAAAATTCTATTTATATCTTTTTCGGAGAAAGAAAGAAAAAACGTGCAAGAGTGATGAGGAAAGAGAATAAAATAAAAAAAATTAAATGGAATTATATTTATACCTTTGTTTTGGAAGAAGAGAGAGAGGAAACGTGTAAGATTGACATGGAAAGAGTATAAATTAGTAAGAAATTAAATTAGAGAGAAACCAAAGCAAACTGAAATATGAAAAAAATATAATAAAGAAAAAAAATACGTGGCAAAGAGAATAAATTAAGAGAAATTACCGTAGAGAAAGACAAAATCGAAATGTCAAAAATATAATAATAATAATAAAAGATATGTGGTATAATAACAAGGTAATGCTTCTTTTTATATGATAGATATTCCTCATTTTTTAACTGGCCGATTTCTACTTTTACTTTTATTTTTTTTGGACTAAAACCGATTTATTATCGGTTTTTTAATTTGCAAAAATATTATTATTAGCTTGCTCACCATGCCCTTGTTTTTGGAAAAAAATTATGGATTCTTTTTTACAAATAAAGTCGGTTCGGCACAAATTATGCTGTACTGACTTCATTTTTAAAAATAAAGCTGGTCCGACACACATTGTGTTTGACATGCTTTATTTTTACAAATGAAATCGGTTCGGCATCAAAGCCGATCGAGCATATATTGTACGGACATGCATAATTTATAATAAAAAAAAGACAAACAAAAAAGTATGGGTGAGAAAAATATAAGTTTTGAGAGGGTATTTTTGCCTTAAAAATCACTACTTCCTTGTGGGGCTACAAAGGTAATATCACGAAATTGGGTCATGTGGGGATTCATAACTTTTTTTTTGACAAAACAGATTTACCATACTCCTGCAGAAGCATAATGTGCGTCTCATCCCTCGCTCAAAGAATTTTCTTAGCCTAAAATTTTGGGGAAAACGTAATATATTTTGAAAAGAAAAACTTGAATTTTAGGTTTTGGGGATAATTAGATCTAGCCCTTCAAATATTGGACGGTCGGTATTCAATCTTGAGACATAAGTTTCTTCTAGAATATAAAGAGATTATTTTAGATTTTTTTATTTAAATGATTATATAAAGTTGTAACCTTAAAATGTAGAATTAAGATGCACATTAAAAATCCACTAGAAAAGACTGTTTTAATATTGAAAAACTCTCTAATTGATAATCTCGACATTGAGATGTATGAACATGAAGAAAAAAAAGATTTCGAGTTCCAAAAATAGTGTATCTTGCAACACGTTATATAGACCGTCTATTTTCAAGATTTTCATATGTTTATAGATATGCTTGATTTGAACTATTTTAGAGTAAAAATTTTCTAATTAGAAATAAAAATGGACTCTAGGCCATCCTAAGAATTTTTCATACCAAAATTACATGCTACGATAAAATTTGGAGGTACGCCTTAATTTGATTGTTTAAGATTGCAACTTTATGCAAACGACGCCTTCATTTTTTGTTTGCTGAGAGATTAAAAAAGAATACGTAATATGTATATTTGCACCAGGGAGGAAAATGAATGAATAATATCCTCCAGCGGGAGCAAGGAAATCTTTTGGCCATTGAGGGTTTTATTTTGGAATAAGTTTTATATAGAATCGAGGTTCTAAACAATCAAAATATAACCCACCTCAATAACTTCACCAGAAGAAGTGATTTTGATGCCCAAATATCCTCAAATTGATCATCTCGATATCAAGATGCATGGACATGAAAAAAAAATAGATTTCAAACTTTGAAAATAATACATCTTGTAATATATAGAAAGTCAGAGAAACAACAAAGAACAAACCATTTATTTGAGAAAAATAAAGTCAATTTTTGTTTGCTTTTAGAGAAGGGAAAAGTTTGAATAGAGCGGCGGCTCTAAATAATCAAATTCCAACCTACCTCAAAAATTTCACTAGAAGAAGTTTTTTTGTTGCCCAAATATTCTCAAATTGATCATATGGACATCAAGATGCATTGACATGAGAAAAAAAATTGATTTCAAGTTTTGGAAATAGTGCATTTTGTAACGCATTTTTGGACCATCAATTTTCAAGATTATCAAGTTTTCATAGATCTCTCTATCTACACTATTTTTGAAGCTTTAAAATTTATAAAATAAAAATGAAAATATATTTTAAAGCTACAAAAAAAATTCCAGTATTGAAACCACATTTCTTAATACTATTTGAATATATGCTCTAATTTGATTGTTTACATCCTAGGCTCTATACAAACCGTACCCTTTAGAGAATAGTGTGTATTAATTGAATGGTTGCAACATGTTTTTTTTTTGGTAATTCAGTGGGGAATAGAAGCCCCTACCTATTTTTTCAAATAGTTTTAAGAATTAGTTTTTTAAAAGTATTAGTGGGGTGATGTGAAACTACAATATGGTGACCAGGGTATGGCACATGAAGATCCATAACACCCAACTTGCTTCGAAGAAATTATAATTTCTTGCGACTTAATAATTTGACGAGAATGTCTACTACTTGATGTTCAATAGAGATTGTAGGGATTGAGATAATCATAATTTTTAGAATGTTCAACAAACTAACTAATATATTTTTTACCAAAAAAACGAACTTGTCATATTTCATGGAAGGGTCAGGTTTGTATAAGGCTGATACCCTAAACAATCAAAGACACACATTCAAATAGTGTCAAAAAATATTGTTTTAGTACTTAAAATCTTTATGATGGCCTAAAACAAAATTTCAACTCTAATTATAAAATTAAAGCTTATAAAATAGTATAGATTAAACAAATTGATAATCACTTGAAAATCTTGAAGTCTTCAAATCCATAAATACCATCTCGACCTTGAGATGGTCTACATAATGTATTACAATATGTACTATTTTCAAGACTTTAAATTCTTTTTTTTATTTTTTTTACATCCATGTATCTCATGGTCGAGATGATTGGATTTGAGAGTTTTTCAAATTGGAAACAACTTTTTCTGATCAATTATTTAGGTGTGCCCTAATTTGATTGTTTAGGGCCTCAACGTTATATATTTTTTATTCATGAACTTTTTCTTCATGTAATCTAAGTCTCAATGTTGTCAAATTCGTTTTTGGGGTCTTTTTTGGTTTCGTAAGAAAAATGAAACAATTCGGTTCTTCAGGGGAATACTTCGAATTTTTTCTTTTTAATTTAATATAAGTAAATTAGATATTTATATATAACAATATATAAAATAATGAAAAATATCAAAAAAAAAAAATTTCAAAAAAAAAAATGTATATCAATATTTCTTTGCTTGGGTCGAAAAGGTCGAAAAAGACCTGAATCTTATCGAAGCGGCCCGAATCTAATCGAAGCAGCAACACCAACATCAACATATAAAAATAATGAAAAACTTCAAAAATAAAAATAAAAAAAATATTTTTTCATAGATATTTCTTTATTTTTTCCTCCGAACCTGTCCGAATCTAACTAAAACGACATAAATTTGACCAAAATGGCAGCACCAAACTTCGTTACAGCCTAAGCCTAAAATCCAAAGGCTTTGACCTCTTCGGCCAAAGCGAAACGAATATGACAGCACTGCTGTGTCCATGCCTTACGTAGAAGGTGACATGCCATCCACAAGACTCCTTACTCGAGAGTAAATTAGTCACTGAACCAGGATATAAAAATCAAAAACACCAAACCATTTAACTCATAACCACCTACCTCTCTCTCTCTCTCAAGTTAGGCTTAGAACTAAGCACAAGCTTCACCTTCAACTCTTCATCCCCAAACTCTTTAATGGAGGAAAAAAGAGTTGCAGGGCTCCATGGCTACAAAAAACACCTTCTTCTCTTCCCTCTGCCAGCTCAAGGCCACATAAACCCCATGGTCCAGCTAGCTAACATACTCCACAACAGAGGTTTCTACATAAGCATAGTCCAGACAGATTTTCGGGCTGCTCACCTCAAGCCTAGACCCGGGTTCGCCATCGAGAACATTTGCTTGGGCCTATCGCACCAGGAGATTCTAGTCATGGATATTATGGAGGTCATTTTCAAGCTCAATGAGAAGTGCAACCTCCCATTCCGAGCTTTAATAAAGGATTTACAGTCGAGAGAAGGGAGTTTTCCAATTTCTTGTTTGATTACAGATGCTTTATTGTATTTAACGCAGGATGCGGCTGAAGAGCTTGGGATTATGAGAATGGCTTTGAGAACCAGTAGCCCAACGTCGCAATTGGTTTATGAGTCTTTTCCGGTTCTTATAGAGAAGGGCTATCTTGGAGATGGAGGTGAGAAAATTATTGTGCTTGATCTGAACCTCAACAATATCTTTTTCATAGACGATTGCTTAGTAAATATGATTATTTGTACTCTCCTTTAGTCTTTTTTTAACATGGAAAGTTTTGACAATTCAATATATATTTCATGGGAAACGATCATTCACTCCAGAGAGTCTCATAGATCATTTGAAGAAATGATTGATCGGAAGAAAATAGAATAAAGATAGAGTCTCATTTTACATGTCAATCCCGGCAACAATGCAATTTTTAGTAAAAAGAAAATCGAATGTTGGAAAATAATATCTTTTTGGGCATATTTTCCAAATAAAGAAAAATGCTCTATATTGCAGAAAACATCGAATGTAATATTTAGGGAAAAGTTTTGCCCATCCTAGTCACTTTTTGGGAGTGGAAATATGACAGCATTTTCACTCTTCTTAAACTGCAATGTCAAGACAAAACTGTTCAAATTTAATCTCAAACTTGATCTCTCTAACCCAGCTCTATTCATGATTTTCTTCAAAAATTGCAATTAGAATACAAGGCTGTTCAATACTCTAACCCAGCCCTGTTCATGAATTTTTGCAGCCCAGTTCTCTGATGAGGAGCCGCTTTCCGACCTCTCTCCACTCCGGGTCAAGGATATCCCCTTAATCGATAAGAAACAATCGGAATCCTTATATATCTTTGTCTCCACTTTCGTCAGCAAAACTTACAGTGCCTCTGCTATAATATTCAACTCCTCAGAAGCTCTCGAACACCTCACTCTCCAAAGACTTCAACAGCAATTTTCCGGCAAAGTCTACACCATTGGTCCCCTGGTCTCACCAATTCCTGCGAGCCTTTGGCCAGAAGACTGCAGTTGCATCTCCTGGCTCGATACAAAAACCTCTGGGTCGGTAATATACACAGCTTTGGAAGTGCAGCCACAATTGATTCAAAGCAATTGATTGAGATAGCATGGGGCCTGGCAAATAGTGGGTGCCCCTTCTTGTGGGTGGTGCGCCCAGGCTTGGTTAGTGGGGTTGATGAGGCCGAGCTTCCCAGTGGGTTCATGGATCAAGTGGGCTCGCGTGGGCTAGTGGTGCGCTGGGCCCCTCAGAAAGAGGTGCTAGCTCACCGAGCGGTGGGTGCATTCTGGACTCATTGTGGTTGGAACTCGACACTCGAGAGCGTGTGAGTTGGTGTGCCTATGGTAAGTTTGCGGACCAGAGGGTGAATGCAAGGTTGGTGTGTGAGCTTTGGAGGGTTGGGGTGGAGATGGGGAAAGAGGCGGAGAGAGGAGAGGTGGAGAAGGCGGTGAGGAAGTTGTTGGTGGAGAGAGAGGGGGAGGAGATGAGAGAGAGGGTAAGAGAATTGAAGAAAGCAGCAGACAGAAGCATGGAGAAGGGTGGCTCTTCCTATGAGGCTTTGGAGGCACTGATGGAGCATCTCATGTCTTGCTAAGAAACAATGGTCTTATCTCTTGCGTTAAATTTTAGTATTTTAAACCAATCTTCCATTCAGCATTATAAAGTTAATTTGGCTTTTTGGGACCATAGTTGCCAAATAATTATCTATATTGGTTCATTGGTTACTAGTATTTCTCTTGGGGAAAAATGTTTTAAAAGTACTACTAGTTGATCTCATGGTCAACAGCACCTCAGGTGAAACATGATTTTTTCAAATAGATTTTATTTTTTAAAGTTCCATTTTTTATTTTATTTTTTCTGGTCTTTTCGGGTAAATCAATTTGGATTTGAACCCTATACTATTGCAATTGCACCAACACCCCACCAATAGCAAAGTCTGAATCATCCGAGTGCACCTTAAATGGGACCGCATGGTCAGGGAGCCACAACACTGGCTCACACGTTATATTCTTCAAATCTTCAAAGGCTTCCTTGCACTTGGTGTCCAACTCCCTGGTCAATCTTTCTTGAGTAGATCGGCCAATGGTGCAGCCCTTCTTGAGAAGCCCTCGATGAACTGCCCTATACCTATAACCTATATTATAGATAGTAGGAAACTAATCCCAGGAAGGATCATAAGATCATTTCCTTACTAAAAAAATAAATTAGGGAAATTTTATATAATTATCCAAAAACGTTTTTTAACTGTTTTACTTTGCTCGTGCATTTGATCTTTCAAAGCCGTGTCATAGAACTTGGTATTCATAATTTGTTTATTATCATTAGTCATATTTAGTTTGTGGAATTGATTGCTTACCTTATGATCAGAAACTTTTTTACTCATTGGTTGCACTAATCCTCCCCAGACAAAATTCACCAAATACATTCACATCCATAACTATTTTTTCTAGTTTGCTCTTTAGTCAAATCCGAAATATTCACGTTTCCTTTGTCAAAGTTTCGTTCGTGCTCCATAATCTTGGTTCTCTTTTTTTAATGCAACTTTTTTAGACCAAATTGAATTAGTGTGTATTTTGTTTCTTCATAGATTAGTTATCAATGAGAACTTTGCTAGAAGAAAAAAGTTGACATAACAAATCCATTAAGTAACCATGCCCCTCTCTCGCCCCCAAACAAGAATATTAGGAAGATAGGAGATTGTAATTTTCATAATATGGTGAGAGGTTTTTTTAATCTTTTAACTACTATATATTACATCAAGATTTCTTCATTGAAATCTTTATTCTTATTTGATTAGCATTTAATCTATGCCTGGTTATCCAAGATTATCATTAGAATGTGACTTCGATGAGGGGAAGATTTTTGTAAGGCCATGGCTTAAATCTTAAAGGATATTGTTGTTCTGGTATCGGAAAACCTCAATGATCATCTCTTCCTTTACAATTGTGAATATGAAAGAAGATAGATTTTGAGCTCCAAAAATAATATATATTTCACCATCCACATTCAAATACCAACATATTCTAAAAGATAACAACCACAGTTTGGGCAAAAATAAAGAGAAAGAAAACTAGTGTAGAAGATTACAAGAGTGAAATACAAATATTTACGTGGTTCGACAATTGCCTACATTCACAGAGGCAACAAACTTCTCTTTCACTTAAATAAATAAATAAACAAATCAAATCATACAACCATAGAAAATACAATAGTTTTAAAGCTCTCTCTCACAAGCCTTGAAACAATATTTTTCTCTCTCAATAATACTGTCACACCCC